CGGCCCCACCGGCCTGTGTCCCCCGGACTTGCGTGGGCGCCCGTGGGCCCTGCCCCTCGCCCGCAGGTGAGGGCCGAGATCCGCCTTTTCCACAGACACGGGGTGTGGGGGTGCTGGCACATTCTCCACCCCACCTCCTTCCATCCCTCGTGTTTACCCCACAGCCACCCGGTGTGTGCGGGGCGAGTGCCCACCCACTCTTGCCCTTTGCCGGGTTGGTGGGGTTTATTAGAATTATTTATTATTGTTTTTCTTGGAATGGCAAGGACGAACAGAACATGCGGAGTGCGAGTGGGTAGGAGCTTTGCCAAGGTGATGGCCCTGGCTGGGCAGGGCCCCTGCCGCTGCCCTGCGTCCAGCAGTGCCCTGCCTCGCAGCACCATGTGTGTGCAAACCCCCGGACACCAGCACTCCTGCCTCCTGCTCCAGATCCACCAGCTCCTTTCAGGACGGTGGCTGTGCTGAAGTACCAGGGAAGCACTGGGGACACTGGGGGGAGGCCTGCCGGGAAGCACTGGCTGGTGGGCTGTTTTCAGCAGTGCCTTCTCCTGGCTTTGTGCACCCCCTCTTTGCTGTCTCCCTTTCAGCTGCCCACAGACATGCCAAGGAGGCAGCAGTCAGAAACACCCCCTTCCAGGACACAAGGAATTGTGTGCTCCTCCTTTGATGTCAAAGCTGCCATCATGTAGGCTGAGCTGGGGTTCCTGCTCCTCTACGCACTCCCCCAAGGACACAGATGTGCAGGAGGTCCTCCTTGGGGAGGCACAGGCAAGGGCAAACTGAGTTCTTCAAGATGCTATTCATGTGCCAGCCCTCTTGCCCCCTTTTGGGTGGGCTAGGCCCTTAGTTGGCCACAGGGAGCTATGAAGGTGAAACCAAAAAGAAGTTTAGCTCCACCTCACCTTCTGCTGACATGAAGGCAGAGCTGGGTTCCTGGGTGCAGTGAGGTGTGGGGGATAAGAGGAGAAGGGTAATTCCCTATGTGGCTGGTGCAGTCCGTAGCAAAGCCATGTGGGCAGGCAGAAATGGCTGGGCACATACAAGGCACCAGAAAAATACCCTGCTGACTCCCAGCTGTGAAAGACAGCAGGGGTGGAATTAAAGCCCTGGGAGGACAGGAAGCTTTACAAGTGTCAGAGCTACCACAAGGAAGTGACCTCATCCTGCAGCTCCCTTTCCTGCAGGGATTAAGTAGGTTGCCCACCACGGTTTCATGTCTTGGTCTTCAAATGTGTGAGTAGGTGGATGTCTGGGAGTTGTTGTTGATGCAGGACCTCCAGTCTGGCTGGGGATGGTCAGAAAAGTGGCAGTACTTTTCTGTATGTTTTCCCTTCTCATGGTTGTGCAGGTTTTGCAGGGCAAAACAATTAATAATGAGCAGATCCTGTTCCATTTGGCCAGAAATCAGCTGTGTATCATGACAAGTGGTTTGTTTAATGTCACATATCCATGGTGACACTGGTATACCTTTTTGCCCTGCACTGCTTTAAGTTTGAGATCCTTTTTAAAACCAAGCACACATCGTATCGCTGCCCTGCAAATGCCCTTTCCTATTTTTGGCTTTCAAATGCTGGAAGCTGCCAGCTTGCCAAAGTGAGTTATGGAGAATTGGCATGAGACTGCCCAGAAGCAATAGCTGGGAAGTCACAGGCTTCATGACACTTCACTCATACAAAAACATATCTTCAGGTATTTACAGTCCACACACAAAGAACTGGGCAGGATGGAGCCTTCTTCATCAGGAGTTGCAATGGGGTCTAGATAAGGCTCAGCAAAGTGGTGCCAGACAAGCAAAGTTTTTCATTGTTTATGGCCATAGCAAAATGGGAACACAATCAGTTGGTTGCTTTCCAGGAAATGGCTGGAAGACTGGTGACAGGCAGCTAAGGGAATGTAGGACAAAGCATAAACCCATCACCACAGAGCTAGCAGGAAGCCTCAAATCTCATCTGTTTGCCTCTCCTGATCTAAGCCACAGTTATTTAAAGAAATCTCTTCCCTCATATTCTTCAAAGTCTTCTGCATACCTGAGTTGTTCTTCAGTCAAACAGTGAGAAATCAGGGCATGCATATCTGGAGAATGCTGGAGATGGCCAGAGGTGGGAATAAAAGCAGCAGGGTTCACAGGGTTGCTCCTCAGCAGAGAATCCAAATAGAGTTGAAAGCAGAATGTGACTGCTACGCCTATCTAGGAAGAATCACTGGGAAATATAAAACATGACAATGGAAAAGAAGGGAAAAGATGGATCCTCTGTTTAGTGTTAACATTGTGGATTGGAAGGTCAGGAAGATACTGAGACTGGGTTGCAGATGCTGCCCCACTCATTCCTTCCAGACTGGAATGTCTGCAGAGTGTGGTGAAAGGAAGGAAAGGAAAATCAAAAAGGAGAATCCCAGATGGAGTTATTTCAGGTATTTACTGGAAATCCTCAGACTGGCTGAATACTTCTCGTTCTAAGGACGTATCACAACAATGTGATAAAAAGGGCAATAGATTTCAGGAGGACTTGGATCTCTAAATCCCTTTTTGCAACTCTGAAATTATAATCCCTAACTCTCTGTGACTTGTCTCTCCCAGATCACTCTGGAGGGGAGTTTCTATGTGTTCCCTCCCACGCTGACACAAAGGAGTCAGGAAAACTCAGTTCAGGACATCTGCTAGGGTTATCTGATAGGAAATTTTATATTAGAATGATATCCTGGAAGAAATGTCCTTTCTGTAGAAACGATTAAGCTCTTCTATTGAGAAGACAAGCAATGATTTTCTGGCTGCTCTTACTTCTGACCTTCTTACAGCTTCCTTCAATCCCACCCTTCCCGAGGTACCTGGTGCTTGAGAGGGAAGAGGGAACTGTGGCTGAGAAGGTCTCCAGCTCTTTGCTGCAGCACTGAGTTGGATGGCCACTCCTGGTTTCACTGCCCACCCTGTGGAATAAAAATGAGCAACATAAGCTTGTTCTGGATGGGCACCTAGGAAGCAGAGAAATCTGTTTTGATCTTTCAATGTGCACTTCCTCCCCCTGGAATTACTTTTATGAGAAGAACAGTGGTTTGTTTTTTTTTCCTGTGGGGTGAAAACACAGGGTTTTTGACTAGGACAGAGTTTAATTTTTTTACATGCTTTATTGAGAGACCTATTATTCTTACATGGTTTGGGGGATGAAAGAGTGGACACAGGATTAGCCATGGGTCTGGGCATGAGATGCTCTGAGTATCTAGGTTGGATGGAATTACCTTGGCAAATTCAGCTGTTTTAACAGCACCAAAGAGGCAGGAAACACAGGATTAACTTGGTTAAATTAGTTCAATACTAAGTACAAGTTTCCTGAAGCCGTCACAGCTCCCCTCTGCTGGTCCAGACACCAGCTGGACATTCCCCAGAGCTGAGCATCTGGCCACCCATTTCAGCAGTCTTCACTCCTGGGAAAGGCCACTGTTGAGTGAGGCAGCGCATCTGACATACAGGTGGGCAGCCTGAGTGTGGAAGAGATGGCCCACTGGGGAGTTCTTTCAGTGGTGGTCCATGTTACATGGGGTTACTGGAGTGATGTCAGAGCAAATCTGTACTGCGTTCCTCACAGCTGGCTGGTGTGGGAGTGTGGGTGGAAATGTAGAGAGACAGAGCCTCTGCTACAAGACTAATTTTTTTTTACAGGTTTCACAAGGTAATCCATCTCTGCTGATTAAAAGTGGTTACTCTGATGAGAACAGGGGCTACCAGTGTATTTGTTAGCATGAAGTCTATGAAAAGCAAAGAGTTACCCAGAGCAAGGAACCTTCTGTAGCATTTTTGGGGTAGGCTGGAGGGTCTTATGTGCTTACATCCCTTGTTGGTGAGCAAGGACCCAGTGATGTACACATCAAAATGCTGTTCTAAATTAAGGAACACAAGGGTATGCAAATTGTAGTACTTTCTCCCCACTCACCTTTTCCTGTTTGTTTAGATGTCTCAAGATAGTAACATGCCAGTTTATTTTATTTCAGCAATAACAAATGTAGCTTTTCACCCTTCATTTGCATCATCTTATTTGTGTGAGAATGCCTTGGGAAGGGTGACAAGCTCCATTGTTTTACCATTACACCCTCTCAGCACAGTGCTTCAAGCCTGTGTGATCTCAACCGAGGTCCTTCCTGAAGTGTAATTTCACTGCAAGGTGTTTTGTTTGAAAAAGTGACTCTGTAAAAATGGGAATGCTCATGAAGAACATTATTTTTTTAAGAGGTTCAAGAGGACGTGAACATACAAAATAAACACATGCATGGGGCCTGCAAGAAAGCTGGGGAGGGACTTTTTACAAGGGCATATAGCCATCTGGCAAGGGGTAATAGTTTTAAACTGGAAGGGAGGAGATTTAGACATTAGGAAAGAAATCTTTAGTGTGAGGGTGGTAAGGCCAACACAGGTTTCCCAGGGAGGCTGTGCATGCCTCATCCCTGGCAGTGTTGAAGGCCAGGTTGGATGGGGC